TCAATGTAGCTAATGTTAAATATCTTGAAATAAAGTAACTTAGCTACAATAACAACAACAGTAACTATTAGATACTGTATTTAGCTGCTTACCTACATACTTAAATTTGTAGACAAAGTTGAGACACATTGGGCCAAACTGTCCAACATTTCCGACAACAATTCCAGTCACTATAGTGACTCGCCAATGATCAAATCTCGTATTTTACAAGGCCAGCAGTATAGGGGTCATGTAAAGGATGCGTGTCAAACCCCGAATCAAGCCCTATATATAACATCTAATAAAATCTAAGTGCTAAAATAAAATAATAAAAAAAAAAAAATAAAATAAAATAAAATAAAATAAAATAAAAACTCCCGGAATCATCTATCCTTCTGCTTTTTTCCATTTATTTTCCTCCAAGTGTAAGTGTATGTGTTAATCAAAGGTCTATAGGAACCAAGAAAGGGTAGCACAAACAGACAAGACACAACCTACCCACGGGACCGGGTCTAAGGACACTCTCTACTTTTAGAGTTTATTTTATTTCATCATGTGCTTGTCATATGCTCAGATAGAGCACTTGGGCAGCACTTGTTAAGTGGTCCATTGAGACGTTTGTGATATTGTTAGCCGTGGTAAATGGCTCCATGGGGTTTAAGATATGGAGACATGTGAATGCCATAGATTAAAGCTTGATAAAATGGAGAGAGAAAGCAGAAGAACTATTTAAATGGAGAAGGATGATTTTTCTCTCAATGTCTCTTATTTTGTCCTATGCTTTTATCTTTGCTTGCGCTAGCTTCTTTTCATTCCAAACTCTTCTATTTCCTAGCCCCAATTTCTCTTTATCTCAGTCTGTCAGAAAGTAGAAATGTTATAAATTGGATGTTGTAGTCTGATTCTGACAACAAAAAATGTAAGATGTAAAAAGTAATTAAAAAATGAATAAAAATGTCCTGTTCATGGGGTACTAATTGAACTTTTTGCCACATGCTAATGATTTATAAAACTGTAATTTGTATTTTTTTTTAAATAGAAAAATATATTTTTGTCTCAGTGGGATTGTTTTTGTGAATTTTTTTTTCTATCAACACCTTACACTAGATAAGACATGATTACATTGTGATTTTGATACTCGTGTGACTCTAATTGTAAAAGTAAATTCTAAGTGAATTCTAAGTAAAGTAAAATAAAAAAATAAAATCCCAATCAAATAAAAAAATAAAATAAAATAAAATAAATATTTCATGCCTGCATGCTGCATTTGCACTCACTGGTATGCTGCTAGTCCCTGTGAGGGACGGCGTGCTGCTGTCAGTGCCAGGTGGCTCGCTGTGTGTCTGTGTGGGTGTGTAGATAGTGAGGGCTGCGGCGTGCTCAGGGACTGGACTGGGCCCCGTGTAGTCCTGCCCAGGGTGGGTGTATTCGCCAGGCAACCCATTCTGAGGTGGAGGGGGAGGATACTGCGCTGGAGCATACGGCTGAGCCATGGCTTCTGGGGGAGCTGGGGCCTCCTGGTTACCCTGGAAAGAAAGGAGGAGAGAGATTTTTATCAGTTTTATTCTTACATATCTCATTCTAATCCAGTTTTTCTGGCTCTTCAAGGAACAATGCCTGCAATGAGATGTGACAAGAGCGATCATCATAAGAGCCCCGAATGCCTGGGTCGTGATAACACATGATAGGAGAGAATGGGACCTAATTCCATGATAATGGCAGAACAACTACTGTACCTGACAATCTGAACCTGAATCATATACCACGATAAGCCTCAGATATTAAAACCACTTATAGTGATTCAATCCAAGCACTGATATGGATCCCTGTTCCTGCTGCTGAGAGGAATCAGCCCCATACACTTTTTCACCTTTAAAGTCCCCATGAAATCAAAATTAAAGTTTTTTGGGTGTTAGTATCAATATGTTAGTCTTAAGGTTATCTATAAGGCAGTGTGCTCCAAAACAGTGACAAAATTCGCATTTAGAAGATATAAGCATTCAAAGCTTGCAGTTCGTCACTTCCGCCAAAAACGGCTCAACGTTTTTTTTGACGTCACATCGTACTTCAGCTTCTCATCAAACTTTCTGTCCAATCAAATGCTCTCTAGAATCCGAAGCGGCCGCCCCTACACTATAAAATAGACGCTGAAGCCGCGGCTGAAATCGGTCACTTGTCCACAGAATTAGTATTTTCTGTACAGTGAATGGCACGTAGTGCACTATATAGGGGACAGGGAACGATTCAAACAGTGTAAATATGCTTTCCATTGAGGAAAAAAAGTCGTCTGGTTTCGCGCTGTGTCACGCTAACCATCGCACCGCACACACACTCTGCTCCAGTACAGAGACACGATAGCACGGAGCGGATCACATACGCGAGTCGGCGCAGACCACAAAATGTATCGGAGCTATTTGAATTCTACACAGAATGCTATATTTTATAGCAATATGGATGAGATTGTGGCTGGCATACCCTGTCAAATGCGGCTTTACGGAGCTCCACGGCTCCGAACGGCTCTAGCCCAAGCTGTGATATAAACGAACGCTATTGGCTATTTTAAAAAGGGGCGGGGCTGCTTGATATGTCCCGCCCTGTCTTCCTGTTTCAGTTAAAATGACGTCAACACATAGAGTAACGCTGCGTGTTTCTAAGCATTTCAGGGGACCTTTAATAGTACGACTAATATATGTTATTCAAATTTGTTAAGTGTTAAAAGAAGAAATATTGAAGAATATTCAAATATTTTTATACAGCAACAGGTCATAGTGGCTACTGTACATCTTTCAAACTCCAAAAATAACCAAACACCAGCATAATAGCACCATAAAAGTAGCCCGAATTACTTGTGCTCTGTATTCAAAGTCTTCTAAATAGATTATACAATACAATATATTATGTACAATAGATTATGATTAAATGATTTGCTGATAATTCTGACCTCCAGAACTCCAGAGCCTCTCTGACCGAATCACTTCTGAACCTGAGAATCAGATCTGTGAATGATTTGTTCTTTTAAATGATTTGGACTGATTCTGTTCTCAAGTTCAGCTCACTCAATAATCCTCACTGCGGGAAAGTTTATCAGCGAATTTAAACATTTCTGTGTGTTCCTTACATAAATCTGTCCAAAAACTTAGTGAATAGGTCACAGGGCTTCTTTTATGGAGGTCTTTGGAACGATTTGGTTGCTATGAACTGTAATTGTATGGAAAAAAATATTACATGAAGATTCATCAAAATTCTCCTTTTGTAAAGAAAAAGAAGAAGAGAAAAGCATTTGCAACAAGACTAGGGTGAGTAAATGACTGAATTGTAATATTTGGCTGAACTGTTCCTTCAAGTGAAGCTAAAGCATGATTTTTCTTTGTCTTATCAGAGAAAAGCAGCAGCATCTGAGATGCGTGGGGTCCCGGCTGCTGAATGGCTTTATCTGGGCCCTATCATATCAGCTCTCAGAGAACATTACAAGACTGCTTGATCAAGGCAACAAACTTACTTTATAGAGCAGCGCTCGATAGATTTGCTGCCCGAGTGACAGGGTTCTAAATTGCTCTCTTGGCAAGCAGCATGTGCGAGATCAATTAACTGATACATTTTTGATTATAACCTTTGATTTAAATTACAGGTTTCTAATACAAGCTGCTGTTTCTCATTTTCATGGCCTCTCGCGTCTTTTCCCTCATATTCACCTCCCTCTGTTTCACTCATTCTGTCTCACTTATGCGCTTTCTCTTGCTCTCTGTCTCCGCGCTGGAATTAAATAAGTATCTACACCCTCATTTAGGTCTCTGTGTGAAGAGGTGTCTTTCTTTCGCTCTGTGTATCAGCATGTAAATGAATGTGCTTTTTCTTTCTTATCCATTTCTCTCCACTGAAGAGGATGCAAATGAGATTCTTTACTCTGTTGCTTTCTCGTTCATTTTGAGTCACTGAAGAACGAACACAATGTTTTCTAATCTTATCAGTGAACATTAGGATGTGGCGGCGCATCATTTTTCTCTCTTTCTCTGACAGGTGTCATCATTTGTGCCGGTGGAGACTGGCTTGGTGACTGTTCTTGAAGTGCAGTTTAAAGGCCCAATGAACAAAACTGATTGATGGGCACAGTTTTCTGTCCTGAGATGACGTATTTCCTGTTCAGACAGGAAGTTTGGGCGGGACATATAGAAGGGATTTTAACTTTTTCAGAAAGTAATTAAAAATGATTAGTATACAAAATAATATAATCATATTATTATATTTATTTAAAAAAATAAAATAAATTTTGGGAGCGTGTGTGTTGTGAGATGATGAGAGATGAGAAGTACTAATTTGGACATAATGCAGGTGTGCTAGCATGTTGGCGTGCAAGGGCTAATCTCTCAGGCAGTGTACTGTGTGTGTGTGTTATGACAGAGGAGGGCTACTCTCTGGGGCAGAGTGCTGTTGTCAGCACAGGTGCAACTGGGTCATCAGTACAAAGTATATTGTGTGTTTTTGGGTGAATGTGTGTTTGTGTATTTTATGTGTCTGAATCTTGCTATATAAAAGCTGCTTACCCCGAGGGACTCATATCAATGTATTAATCTTATACAAATGTATGACCTTGGAGTTTGACCCCATCCTGAGAGCTCATGGCAAAGAGAGGCAATAACAGCTCCTTAACCAACCTTTGGGTAATGGGATCTCTCTTGCACTTACTGTGCCTGCTCCTTAATTAATCAAAATCTGATGAGCTTAAAAAAAAAAAAAACACCAGGCACCCCTGGACACAAACGACTTCCTGTTTGGAACCACGCAAGTATTTTGCACAGACGATAACATTCTTAATTAATACTGAATATGAATTGAAAAAGCAAACAAAATGCAGAATTGCATTTTAATCTAATAGAATTAAAATGAATTGAAATTGTGAAAACAATTCTAATTCTTTCTTTGAAATTATTTTATAAAAATGAAATTATTATAATAGAATTATTAAAATTAATAAAAAATATAAGTCTGTGGTGCTTGAGAGCTGTTGGCTCTTGAGGACCCATGTTTGAGTACATCCGATGGTCATTTCCCAATCCCATTCCCTCAACTTTCCTGTCTTTCTCAATTGTCCTATAATATGGGCTAAAAAGCCCATAAATAAAATTACAAAAAGAGAAAATATCAGCAGAATTTCGTCTCTTCCGCCTTTTCAAACGCTGTCCATTACAGAAGGCCAATGAAGAGTCGTAGGAAACTCAGACCCTTTCTTTCCCATTTCTGCTTGATTGTTATTAACCTTTTTTCACTGACTAAGCAGCATTAGGCAGCAGCAGCTTTGGCTGGGGAGGGATGCAGTTTAATAGAAGTGGGGAGAAATGCATTAATGTAAATGTAGTGGAAACAATGAGAGGCCTGGCCATTGACATGTTGGCAAACAAATGAGGCTTTCCTCTCAATTAGAGTCAATGCTCCATTATCCAAATGAAAAACGCACTCTTCCGTGGCCGAACGCACGACGGACAGGCGTGGAGGGGTGAGAAGGAGTGAGGAATAAGAAAGGGGGAATTTTATTACTTCTCAGTTCTTTCTATCTGTTTGCACTTTCTTACACATGTCTCGAAGTTCCAGGAGCTCAAACCGAGACACTGACGCAACATGCAGTGTGCTAAGCATCGATGTACAGTTCCGTTTTGATGAAACATGTACAGTTTGATACACAAACACACAAGCCCGTACATGCAACTTCAGTTACATGGGGCGCTGAACTCAAGTTTTGACAAGTGTGGGTGTTCTATTGATTATATGTGGAAGTTTGTCTCTCTCGGTCTGCATTTCCGTCCATCTAACACTGCATCTCTTGCTTTCATCTCACTCCTCAAGTTGCACCACCCAGGCCGTGTCTGACTCTCTCCTAGTCAGACTGAGGAAAAAGAGTGAGGCAGTCCATAGCCTGGGGTGGATATTGTAATTCACTAAAACATTAAGCAGTATTGATGCAGCCCCCCATTTCTAAGCGCCAATGGGGGTGAGGTCTGTCCAGCGGCCTGAAAAACAGTAGACAAGCCTGACAGGGAGGGGTGGTCTTCACTCTATCTTGGGAGGTGGGCAGAAAGCAAGGTGGGGGGATCCGGGTGAGGTGCTCGCACACCCATAAAGTCTGCCGGAAATGGCTTTCGCTTGAAATCACCTTATTATTACCATGTGTGTTGACTCCGTGCTATGAAATATTCAGCGAGCTAAATGGACGAGTAAGCCACATTTTCCGAAGATAAGATGAAGGATAGGGAGCAGCTTCCTTTGCATCTGGTGAGCTATGAGGCGGATGAAACAGTCAGTAATCCAGCCTCACATTTTCAACGTGTTTTTTCCGGCTCTTGCACCTGCAAACAACATAATGTGCTTTGTTTCCTCGTTTTTACACCTGTGCTGAAGGTGTTTGGTTTCTAAACCCGCCTGGCCTTTGTTTTTTGTTGTTTCTATATGCATTAGGTTTTTTTTTTCTGGAAGGTTAAGCGAAAATGACCTAAGAGAGCTGACGCCCGATTAGCTCCCATTAGATCCGCCTGCG